CTCCTCCTTCAGCTCTGCCACCAGGCTGAGCAGATCATTCAACTGGCCACACCAAAGACATTTGCCGTCTCCGCTGCCCTGCGGTACAGGCGACAGGCTCAGTCACTCCCTGCAGCCGGAGGCCTGGACGGCTGCGTGTCTGTGCGGGAGCTCCCTCTGGGTCGCCGCATTCCTTCTGGCGACGGCTTTTGGGTGGGTGGTAACCATAGCTGCCAGGTGTTCTCCTGGGAGGGCGATGACTACGAGTTGAGTTTCCCTTGGGAGCCAGGAGGAGGACTCGGCCTTCCCCGCGTGCCTTGCCCGCACCAAGTGCCGCGCCACACCCTGTTTGCCCATCTTGGTCGCCGCGCTCCCTGGGGGCTGCCTTTGTACGTGAGGGGGTTCGGCCGCCATCACTCCCGTCCCCACCAGGCTGCGTCAGAGCTGCCGCCCGTCAGCAGCTCGCCCTTTCCCGCTCTTTCCTGCTCGAGGCGGGGGGCTGGGCTGCCCGCTCTCACCCTGCACTTTTGCCACCTCAGCAAGGGTGCCCCAGCACAAGCCTCCGCTCTGGAGCCCTTCGCTTCCGTGACTTCATTGAAATGGCCCCTTATGTCATACCACTGTGCAACACTGTTACTCATGTCTGTATGTCTCCTTGTACCTTTTCAACAGCACCTTACCTCACCTCACATTTTTTCCATGCATTTATAATGGCAAAACTCTAGGAAGGTATATTAGTCCTCAGTTCTTCACTTTTTCTTGCGCATGTTTTATGCTGTAACCCACAACTCGATACATAATGACTGCCTGCGTAGCCACCATTTTGCCAGTATGTTTACATGATAGATAAAGGACGCATGAGGCTAGTAGTCCACTGTATATGAGTTACAACTACTGCCTAAAAACATGTATTAGTGCAAGTTCTCCTTTCCAAGGGCTGCAATACCAGAGTTCTGTCCTAATTTGGGGAGCAAGTAAATGGCAAAGGATATAGTTCATAGTGAAAATGCCAACCCCAGCAAATACTGAAAAGGTAGACTTTCATGTGTCTCTGTCTTTAAATAGAGTAAGCTGTTGAAAATCAAGCTCGTACAGGTAAACAATCCACAAAACAGGGGAAAAAACCACTCATTTGACAACTACATCAATAATAGCTGTGGTAATAAACAAGCACTCGATTCCATTCCTGCAAAGATCAGTATTATCTACCCTTTATGCTGGCAATTTAGAGCTAACACAATTTATTTTTTCCAGATATTAACTTGTAATTGAATATCTCAAGCAAAATAAAAGTTTATAGTCAAAAACCATATTCATACCTCTGTACTTCAGGTCTTCTCAAAAGGAGATAAAATTAATGACAAAAAAAAAAGCGAGAATATGAAACATAAAAAAATTTTAAAAATTTAAAAAAACATAAAAACATAAAACTTCAGAGAAGTGTAGAAAGCAACATTAAAAGGAAACTTAAGAGGCCATCTGATACATTTCTATGCCTGAACATCTGTATCACCTGTTGCAAGATTCTAGTTCAAGACATTTGAAATTTAATCTCAAGTCTCTATGCTTTTTTTTTTTTAAGAAACAGGTATTTGGAGGCAAGGTGATGAAAGAAAGGATGGTCAGAGACCTGTAAAGGGGAAGCTAGAGGTGATGAGAGCAAGGCTGGACAAAAACCTGCAGAATGAAAACCAGTAGAATAACAGCAGTTTTAAAATATGGGAGGAGAAATACAAAAAAAACCCCACCCCTCCATACACATGCATATAAGCAGACAAAAATGTCTTTTACTGTGTGTCTCCTAATGACTCCCTCAGAGGAAAGGAGCCAAGAAGTATACAATAAAATGATAAAGCTGAGAAAGATACCACCTGAGAAAACCTATGGTAATGTAATTACCATTTCTATAGAATAAGTAACTTTTTAAAAACATCAGTCCATGAGTAAGTCTGTCCACAGTTCTGGATTTTTTTGGTGTGTCTAGACAAGTAAAAGCATGTGCAATGGCTGGTTCAGAGCTTTGCACGTATTGACCAGCATGCTGGAGCTGCCTCTTGCAACAAAAAGGATAAAGTTATAACTTGCTTTCCCTTCCTTAGGACATTATGTTCCATCTTCCTCCTAACCTAGCTGTTGACTTTCTATAAAACTTACAATTCATCGGTTTTGGACATCCCACTCTGACATTCAGACGAAACTGGTCAATAGGTTCAACCAAGTATTGCTGTTAAGAGCAGGGACAGCAGGTGCATAGGAAAGAAAAGAAAAGGATTAACATGCATAGGACTCGTTTACATGAGAAACCAGGGTTAAATACATAAAACAACCTTAAAGAAGAAAAATATACATATCTGTCCTTCAATCAGTACCATCAGGAAAGGCAATCTGGCATTGGAAAACCTTTTTCTGAACTGGAGGAGGAAATATTTATGTAGGGCTTATTCCTGCTCCCATTCCAATAGGTGAAAAGCTATCATAAGTCTCAACCTCAGCAGCAGCTCTAATTCCAAGAGGCCCAAACAGAAACAGAGTGAAAATGCATTTATTTCGTCTTTCAGTTATTCTCTTCACAATGGACTTTAGAATTGCTTCATATCTGAAGCATTGCTGCCCTGTCCATAGGTTTAACAGAAAAAAATCTGAATGGTTGCAATAATATTCATCTACAATGAGCATAAAGATAATTGATTTAAATAGCAAATTTACATATGTTCCACAAATCTCATTGTTCCAGTTCTCAGAGACTAGACATTATATAATGAGAAAATGTGAATTCATTTATCCAATGAACATAGAACAGCAAAACTGCTGTGTATTAGATCTGTAAATCACATGTACAGTATATTAAATTCACTTAGTAGACAGATAATTATGTTCCCACGAAAAAGCCATTATAAATAATGAATAATTAAATATATGTATGACTTGACAAATAATGTGCCAGGATTATGCAGATAATTCATACTTAATTCAGTAGTTGCTTCACTGCTAACAAATAATAACAAATAGACCATTGCATATTCTCCACCATGACGCATTTACTTTATTCAGATTTCCCAAATACATAGGTATCTGAACTTTTCAATTAATTTCACCCTAAGGTACTCAAAGCAAGCAATGCACATTACCAGGTAGACTCTTGAAAAGAAATCTATCTTAACTCATTTCCTTTCTCATTGCAGTCTTTATTCTGAGGAAGAATCAAAATGTCACTGCTGTAAGAGAAATTAAACTAGTAGAAGCTCTCTCTTCATGTACCCCTCTCTGGGCAAGGGATAGGTTTGAAGGTCAGTTCAGTGTTCTCCATCAGTACAAAATCATATCTGCACAGCTGCAGCCTAAAAAAGTAGAAAAAGAAAAAAATGTGCACAATAGAAAAAGTTAACATTAATAGAAAAGTATTTCAGTATTTGAATTATTAAACCTCCAGTATTTACCACCTCTCAGAGACGGTACTCAGGACGAAAAGAAATATCTACTTGTCTTAAGTTTACACCCTATTTTATGCATCACTAGGGTAGTTTTGCTAGACTGAACAACAACCAGGACATCAGCTGGACGGTGCAGTGGCGTGAGTAAGAAGTGTATCACATTAGTCTGAAATATTAAGATGCAATACTTCATCCATTAAAGCTATTAATCTGCATTCAAATTAATTGTTTAGAACAATGGTCCAAGAACAGCCCTATTCCTGTTAACACTGGGCCTGAATAATTTATTTTGAGCTCTCTAGGTATCAAAGTTTCTCTGCTTTCATTCCACAGAGAAAAGTAGAAAAACACATCATAGTATCTTCTAACTCATTCAATTGCAATGACAGCATGTGTAAGAAAGTTTCATGCAAGAGAGTAATTTGTCATCTAAACACCAAGAAAACTCAGAACTGCATAATACTACACGAACATACACAGAGGTCACGAAAGGAGTCACACATACACAAAATGTTACTTTTTGAGGTCCACATAGATGCTCTACCTTTTAGGGCAGAGGCAGAAGCATAGCTCTGCCCTTCATGCACAACTATAGATAGATGGTGAGAGCTGGTTTCAACAGGCAAATGACTAGCACACCCTCTTATGGCACCTCTAAGGGCATACAAGCTACGATACTTATTTTATTTAAAATTATCTTCTATATTGCTCTCACAGATGTGGCTATACAACACAATGCACCTCAGACTGGGATGTAGCATACAGTGAACCAGCTAAAGGACAAAGCCTGAGAAAGAACATCCTGCCAGGCACTTCTGTTGTTGCCTGTTAGTGTGAGACTTCCAACCAGTCAAGGCTCTACCTGTCTGTATGTGAAAGGACTGTCAGATTTCTATATAAGAATTTGAGGCCCTTTAAGGACCCCACAAAGCTAAGACAGTAGATTTTGTGACTAAGAAGATCAAGACAAATTCTGGTATTCTGGCAAAGCACAGAATTTCATCCAGTCCTTCATTCTACAATTTGTTTTGATTTGAATTTAACAGTTTACTACTATATTATTTTTGTAGAGGGAGAAAAAAAAGACATAAAAGCACAGAAATTGCCAGCATTTTAAAAGTCCTTACAAAAGACTGTGAAAGAATCCACAGGACAAATTTCCAACCAGAACAATGTAAGATTATTATATGCATCCATTTCCTGAGCTGACTTTTGATATCTCACGTAACAATACAATACTGTATTTTAGCACATTTGTAACACTATTTGCAACACAGCAGCACAATGTGTTAGCATGGCCAGGTCTCCAACAGCAGTCATCTCCTGGGAAGGGCTCTATCTAACCACAGGGGACACAATACAAACCATAATGATGAATACTAAAAATAAAAACATATGGTTTCCAACATATTGTATCTCATTTGAAGTGCAATCCATCTAAGCTTGTGATACTGAGTACCAGGAATGCCTTACGGGAGAGTAGCCCTCAGCGAGGAGCAGGTTCTCCAGTTCACTGACAAGGAGCAAAACACAAATAATTTTTTTGTTCAGTGAGGCTTTCATAATCACTCACTCCATGTGGCTTCTCTGCTGTCTACTAAAAAGCAAGGGCATACCACACTCTCTTGTTCAGTAGAAGTATGAATAAGGTCTTCTTTTCTATTATTCCTGTTCTTGTTTTGTTCAAAAAGCCAAAGGTGACTGGGCTAAGTGTCTTTGAGACATTCACCTTCCCCATCAATTGAGTTGGAATTAACTGACAGGTTCAAAAGCTTTTTGGGAGAACTGACACACGCAAGTTAGGAAGTCTTTCTGGTTTTAGGGGTGATCATGAATGATTTATCTCAGAGACCAGAAGAAGAGTCTGAAAGTTATATGTACCTTTTGGCACTCCCACATTCACACACCATCTGTGTGAATAATGGACCAGCCCAGTAGACAATTGTCAGTGATATTCCCCAAACTCCCACTGTCTGCTATTAACCCAGTTCTACAGAGACTGAGACTCCTATTGTTTTTATCCCTGCACCTGTCCCCCAGTTTTTACCTACTACTTTGTTATATGAATAATTTAAATATTTCTAATGTCGTTCCTAGTTGATTATCCTGCATTCAACTAATTGTTGTAATTATATGTAACTAAGGTAAATACAGGTAGTTATAATTACAATGAGCAATTATGTAATTATGCCAACCAATAGTGTTGTAACATCTGCATTTAAATTACCTTTACATGCTGATTCAATACACTATTTTCCATTGCTATCTAAAATGCCTATATGACTGCCATCTGTTGAGGCTCCATGTGAAGAACTTTAGTGGATCCTATATTAAAGCAAATCAAGTGCATCTTACTTCAAAACTAACAAGACTCAGAGTAACAGAAATGAAAACTCAAAACCAGAAAGGGATGTTCACTGGAAGTCTTCCTTATTTGCTAGATCATTATCTGAAAAAGTCCTGAATGCTGATAGGCTTGCATGAAATGTGTCTTCTGATTTATCACCACTGGGTTGAGAAAAAAAATTGCAATATGATTTAGAGCTTTGACTATCTCTCATCACCAAATGCTTTGAAATAAAATCATGCCAGTTCACCTGAGAGCTTGAGACTTATGGCCTTCAACAAGTTAATAAAGTCTAATGCATACACGTTTTGGGGAAATATTTTGATTACCGTTCTGTTTCTCTCTAGGTCTCTCCCACCCATCTCCTTCTTCTCAATAAATATGAAATAGCAGATTAATTTAATAAGGTTTCATAATTTTTACAAAGTATCATAACCAATTGCTACTAGACTATTATCATATACCAAATCAGAAAGCCTTAAATGTTCTTTCTCAAGTTAACAAAATATACTGACTTAAGACTTACTCATATTGTAATATTATTCCCACTCATTACTTATTCAATAACCATTATTAGATTTTATTTTTGATTCTGACTTCGTTGAATCTGCCATTCATATGAAGCAAATTAACATAATAACTGAAACAAATTCACGTAATAACTCTAAAATAAAGTACTCTTGCTACTCCTGGATATTTCTTACCTATTCCATGTAAGAGGTTATTTTCACACGATGCAAATGTAAAATGTAGTTGCTAATGCTACTGTACAAGTAACTATGGAGATCTAAAAAATGAACATATGGCAATACTGCCCAGGTATTTAAAACCAGAATGTTTTTAGTAATAAGTAATAAAACTTAGTAATGACACTTAAATATCAAAAAATGCAGATGATTTCATTGTATGTGCAGGCAAGCATAGACTCTGTTTTGGTCTTGGAAGGTCTTTACCATCAGCAAGAAGACCAAAGACCTATTCCAGTCACACAAGTAGCTGAAGTGCTCCATGTCATATCTGAGTGTGAAAAGCTGTCTACAGACACATGATTAAAATCAGAAAAGTGTTTAATAAAATTTGTCTTCTGGAAGAGAACTTAACCATGCAGGTGTAAGTCAGGCAGATCTACATAAGTGGTCCTTGAAAACCCGTTGTGACCAGACAGCAGCAGCAGCAGCCTGCTGTAACAACCAGCACACTTGTTGACATCTACATGTACAAGAGATGCAAACTGAGGGTGCTGTGCACTAAATGCTAATGTACAGAGCAGCTCTTCCATGTGATAAATTTTATCCTAGGTAGGATGAGAAGGATATTTATGCATTTAGGAATATGTGATTAAAAAAATCAACAGAGGGAAATACACACCCTGAGCAGTTTAGTTGATACACACACAACTTTGATACATGACAAACACTTACCTTTCTGGATTATTAAGAGATTTCAGCCTCATCTGGAGAATCCTAAGCTTGTGTTTTGGGCCTACTAAAGTCTTCGTAGAAAAGGTCAAGGAAATTTTCGATATTTTGTCAAGGTCTTGGTGAAATCCAGTTACCATTTTGACTCTTTTATATTGCTGAAATGTTGAAGCTTCACTAAAGAAAAATATTATTTCTAGTCAGGGTTTTGTTAGCTGAGTAATATTCAGTATTACTAGAGCATTATTATTAAGATCAGAAATCTTGTAAGATGTATCGACTTTGAGCATTCAGAACAAGGACACCTAGAACTGGATTCAAACCAGTACCATGCAAGGACCTGGGCTAGTTCATAAATGGAGAGAGGATCACCTCCGTGTGAGGAGCATTGGCTCTGACACTGAGCCATATGCAGGAAAAGGAGCCGTGGCCAAGTCTTAACAACCTCATGATACTTTTTTGACTTACAAGTTAACAAGTTAAAAGGCTTAGGAAACTCAGAAAATTAGTCCTATAAAGTGATAAAAAAGATTTAGAGACAAAGCACAGCATACCTATTCATTGCTGATTCTACTGTGTTTCCAGCATAATCTGTTATTTTAACTTTAATGAAACCTCTCTTGACGCTTTTATTCCAGGTAGTAATATCCAGTAAGTAGTTATACACTGCAAAAAGAAATAGGAAATAATAAGATTCAAAGAATGACCTCAACAGGATACAGTTGTTATTATCACCCTGTTAAAAGTATTCACTGGCTGATGATAGGAATAATGACTCTTTACTTCTAAGTTATCAGCTCAAAGCAGAATAAGAAGGCTATTGACAAAAATTAGCTTCTACCAAATGGTTACTTGGAGTTTTGTGCAATCAGTGTATCATTTCCTCTAGTTCTTACATGGAAAGGATTTGCATCAGAAAGCTACCATCATAATTAGCATGAAGAGTTTGACCTGCCTAAGGAAAAAATGCAAAATCAAGCCCTAACTAGCGCCTTCGGGTTTTGGCAAGCTCTCCAAAGAGGAGATATTTGAGCTACTACTGTAGCAACACTACTACATTACCCACCAAAGTGACATGTCCAGAGAACAGCTGAGGTACCTTGGCAGCGAGAGGGGAGAAACAGCATTGGCACAAGCTTTATGTATAGGCGAAGTGGGCATTTAGCTAGGTGAGCAGATTAATCACATGGTAAAAGCTGAAGAGAGGCATTATTCCTAAGCCTTGCTTGCCCAGCCTGAGCAGGTGCAGCAGTACAGGTCCTCCAAGCACCCTTCCCTCAGAGAATTCAACCTGCTAAAACTTCTGTGTGGATACTAGAAAAACTGCATGGGGAAGACTGAGGAAGAGGAGAGGGATTTGATTGCTTTACCACGCTCCAGCCCCTTCTCCCCCTCCCCTGGAGGGCCCATGGCCTCAGGAAAACAGGCTGGGTACCCGGGGCTGGTGCCCTCCGTGCACTGGCATGGAGCTGACCTGCTCTGCTTTGCCCTCGGAAACCCTGACCTGGCCTTCTACCGCACTTCTGTAACCATCACCAGTACTGGAACCGTGCTGTGGCTAACCAGAGGGAACACAAGTTTTCTGCTCCCAAAGCAGGGAAGCCAATTCAAACTCTTCTTCTGCAATTCTTCTCTCCTAAAAGGCCAAGACTCACTTCATATGAAAAACTTGTCCTGCTCAGGTTTACAGTGTCACTTAGTTTTAAGGCCTCTTGTTTATTTCTTTTTCCTCACGTTTTCAAAGGTCTAATAATTAAAATAAAAATACCCTCTTTTTCAGACTGGTTTAGTAGACTCATTTTTCTTGACTTTGCATATTTTCCCTTAAATTTATGCTGTCATTACAGTGTTTCTTATTCCTCGCCATGTGCCTCATCCTATATTTGGTAATATTTCTCCCCTTCTTTTGTCTCTTCTACCACCCCTGTCCCAGAATACTATACATAATCTTTTCTTTCTGCCATGTACTCTTTCCACCATCAGGATTCTGCCTGGTTGGATTTTTGATGAATGCCCAGATTTTAATATGTGTGAGAGTGAAAGCAAAGCTGTATTTTTCTGTCGGAAGAATGAATGAGGAGAGAGACCTAGCAGCCTGTGCAGCGTTGGGAGCATGGAAGAGCAAAGCCTAAGCAAACAGGAGCAGGGGAGAACAGTGGTAGCAGGTTTGGGTTCAGCTGAAAGACCACTGGGAATAGGTGTTATTTTATGTAAAATCCATCACATCTTCGTTAACGTCTCCTTGGCCCTTTGGAAGAAACAGTGATGTACGTAAGCATGATTACCACTATAAAAAGAGATATTCAGTCCCTGGTCACAAAACTTGCCAAGATGATGGAAAAAGCTAATGGGAAAACTTGATTTCACTTGGAATTCCATGTAAGCCTATCCCCATACCCCAAATCAAAGAACCTTAAATATAGCCAATTAGAAGAATGTGCTAATATTTGCTTATGGTGGTAAAGTCTCTTAATAAAAACAGAAATTGGATGAGAATCTAAACTGGAATCTAAATGGATAGGTTGATACCTAAACTGTTGCAGCTAAAGCCCATGCCATGAGAATTCATTCCCTTGGCGTATAACTCTGAAACAGTCAGCTAAGTTTTCCCTCCACTGTTTTACTCCTAGGGAGACACAGACTGTTAAAAGCTGGAGTAGCTTTAGTTGACTGTGGGGTGCTGTCCTCCTGGGGTGGAACACAGACATGTCTCTTTTTTGTCCCCCACCCAGGGCAGTCTCGCTTCCCATTTTTGCTCTCTGAAAATGGCAGCAATGATCCCATCTCAGCAGGTTCTCTCAGTCAAGCTTTTCCCCTATCACTTGATTCTCATTTTCTGGCTTCCTTCTTCCTCTTGGCAGTCCATCACATTACTTTTAAAGTCACATTTCTTTCTTAGTTCACATGTTGCTTACTTTTCTGCCAGAATCATTCTTCTTCCTCCAGTCTGCGAACTGACACTTAGCTCATGGTTTATTACACCATTTTACACAGCAGATAACAATAACTTTCTACTTTTAACATGCTTTCACTCCAGATCAGCTAACAAATAACAGCCATAACATTTCATAAAGATTTTGTTATGTATTCAGTCACTCACTGCAGAATGGGTCTTGATCTGAAGTATCAAAGTAAGTTTTCGTTGGTGAACTTATTGGGATTAATAGTTTTTTCCATCGATCAGCATAATAACCTGAAATCCAAAGTTTAAATATTTCATTTCAGACACTTAGCAAAATCATGATACACATATAATTACACAAAGTAGCTCACCCAAAGTGACAGATTTGGCTTTAATTTTCTTAAATATTCTCTGAGAAAGTAAATTGACTTGGAAAATGCAGGAATCCCCTGAGTATAATAGAATGTAGTATGCAAGTATTTCATTCTTCTAATATGTTAGTACCACTAAAATTGTCATGCTGTAATAGTTGGAATCTATTTAGTCTAGAGTACTATCTCCAAACAATAGTGCTTATAAACTCCTGCAGAGGCAATAAAAACAAACCCAAGAAAGTAGCCCACATATTTGCAGAGAACAGTTACAGAACAGCTTCACATTAGGTAAAATTTCTTCCTTTCTCTTTTGAATCATTAAAGTAAATATTTTTAAACCCTTTAGTCTATAATTGTGGATATTATTTAATAAAATGTTAGATACCCTGTAAACCTTCTAAGTGTATGGATGTAATGTAGAAAGAACTTTTGGTTTACACAATTCTATACTTACTGTCTTTGGGGCTTGATAACAGTCCTTGTTTCTAAAACAGCTGATCCTATTCTCCCCCTCTTGATTTCTTTACCTAGACTGGGCAACAAGGGCTAGTTCCAGGCTGCAGAGCTGCCGCTGCAAGGCAGCAAGCAGGAAAGCTTGCAGTAGAAGGATGCTATTTCTCCTCGCAGTTCCCAGATTCAGCTGCCTGCCTTTTCCTCCTAGGTTCTACGGTTATTAAAAAAAAAAAAAAAAAAAAAAAAGGGTGGCAGCTGACTGGTCAAATAGTTCTCTACCTCTAGCTCAGGTAGTCTGTGTAAGTGCATCAGGCATGGCTAATAACCATGCTGGGGAAGTCCTGGCATCTTTCTGCCCTACTGTAAGGTCCCATTATGGTTGGGTTTTATTATAAAAAAGCATACAGTCTATCTATGCTTTTTCTTCAAACCTGATCTAACTAATATAGGGTGTACATCCTAATGTAAGGATGTAAGAAAGACAAGGTACAAATTGAAAGTTAACTTCTAATTAAATATTTAAAAAATTTCATTCTTAAGAAAACCCTGCCAACTAGGAAATGCTGACACTATTGTAGCTCTTTGCAAACTGTCCCCAGAGCCTCTCTAAAAGCAATAAAACCCCAAACAACTAAAAATCCCTGCAAATAAAAGCTTGATTCCAAAAGAAGAGCCAGAGAAACCATGAAGTTGCTATAAACATTATTACTCTTAAATAAAAACCACAGGTACTCTAGGGATGATAACACACTGTGAAAGCCTAAAGTGATGAACTAAGTAGAAGCAGTTTCTCTGTAGAAAGGAAATACACTGTGAATCCATTTCAGACTGGAAAGCATAATGATCGAAGATTAGGAACATTCAGCACCTGTGTCTAACAGAGATAACTATAAAGCAGACAAAACCATAAACTTTAAACTACTTTAGACAGTATGCAGCTCTGCACGCAATCAATCTCTACAGATCCCTTAACATGATACTACAGATCTCTGGAGTAGCCCCAGAAAGAGCTCGTCTGGATTTTCCGGAAAATCTCACCCAGCCTAGAGTAGATATCGTAAAGCTTACCCAGTACTGGACAGGACATTGGCTGGAAAGCTTCACAATCAACACATTTCCCTCTCTTGTAATCCAAGTAAGAGTCACAAGGATATGTTATTATGTTGCACCTTCTTTTCAAAGATGATAAGAAGAGGAAGACAGATCTTTGATGGTCACACTTAAAATACTGAAGTCCTTCAGGAAAGAAAAAACGAAATATACAAAGAATATGTAGTCACTTTTCTTCATGAAAGACAAGATGTTATCAAAGTGATCCCATTTACCTGAGTCACTCTTAGTTAGCCATGCTTTTATCTTCTGGTTAATTGACCACCAAGTGTAAATAATGGATGCACACACACAAGAAGAAGAAGCTGAAGACTATTTTGAATATTACAGGTACAGAGAAAAATCTACAGGGTTTTACATGTAAGAAATAGTCTACTAAGTCCTATCAAATTTACAGAATTTATTTGTTATAAAGCATGAGTCTGAGTTAAAATTTGCCTTGTTGCATCCAGTGCGGAACATTTTGGCAGAAAAATTACCGTGAGGAATACTTCAGAGATTCTTCTCTCTGGTTTTTTTGGGGGGTAATAAATTAGTTCCTCTACTAGCAAAACAAACAATGAGAATTGTACACATGAAGATGATCCTGAGTCTTAAGGGAACCTCCCATACTCACAGACATACAAGTGGAAGCCCTATGCTTTTGCAGCAGCTCTAATTCAGAGCAGCACTGTGCAGATTTGTAATAGAAACATAGACAGACATAAACATATCCAAAAAGAGTAAACAAAAACAATGGGCAGAAATCTTGCCTAAGATTTATAGAGGTGAAATAAGCAAAATTCTGCAGCAAAAGATCATGTCGTAAAACTTGTTTTCATCCCAGAGCCTAAAAGACCTGTCCAAAACCTGTTCATCATTGCCAACCAGGAGGAACCTAAGCCACAGTGAAGATCTGAAAGCCTTGCCTTTCATGTCATATGCAAGTGATACTGTCCAAACCACTTGGACACAAACATCTTCCCCCATGCCTAGCCATATATAAACACAGAAAAACAATGATCACTATATGTAGGTTGTATAGATAATATAATAATTCCATCATACCAATAATAATGGTTTGGTGGAATACGTATGCTTATAGGAAGATCTTTTTTTAAAAAAAAAGATGTCAAAAGTCTTTGTTATTTCTCATTTGCTGAGTGGGGATGCAAAAGACAGAATACAATGCCCCCAGCTCCCATATTACCGAATATGTGCAGTGTCCATTGAATTCAGTGTAACCTTTTCTGATTTGTTCTCAAAAGTCTTTTCTTATTAATTGAACACATTTTTATTTACCACTGAATATTGTTTGTGGACAACCAGGCTGATCCGTTCCTCCATTTGGATAGAAATCAATGGTTCCTAAAGGTTTCTTGAAACCTAGTGCTAAAGTAAAAACATCATGAATCAAAAAAACATAAACAGAGTTATGCAGTCAATTATTTATCATTACATTCATTACAAAATAACATGGAGTTCTTAAAGAAAATTTTTGCTGTTGCTGTTCTTTTGTTCTGTAAATGGAAGTCATGTTATAAGTTAAAATACATGGGTTTTTTTCTTTTTAAGAAAATTATATATATGTAAAATGCTATACACAAATGCATACAAATTTGTGTAAGATTCCTACTGCCACAAAAGAAAAATGAAAGAACAGAAGCAACTATTCAGTGCTGTAGCTGAGACATTATTTGCACAAAGAAATTTATGAAATTCATGTTCTCTCCAGCAACGAAAATTCTTTCCCAATGTTATTTTCATTAGAGTAAGATTTTCCATTTTTTGCATGACATTGGATTCTGAGCTACACTAACGTAAGTAGTATATCAAAGTAGAAAAATCTGTGTCTGTCCTACAAAAGACCATGAGTAAGATTTAACTCAATCTGACCTACCTTCCTTTTTACCACACTTTATTCACATAATTGGAACATTACAAAAACTGGTATTCTACAGCTTCACATATAAATCTGTACAGTAAAATGCTTAATTTTTAATATTATTAGAGAAACCGATATGAAACTACACAAATAATGGGGCAAGTGTGGTACGTTTGAAAGGTTTACTTACGGGTTTGAGAAAAAAAAAAGATTATAGCATGGATGAAGCAGCCTTTATGACGTTCTTCATTTTAACCTTACAGTAATGTGATTTAGAATTTTAAGCAGTGGATCTGTACTGTACTAACGTGATACAGCTGAGACTGGCTGCCTCAGAAGGGACTAATTCAGTGATAACCACATGCTTTACAACCTCTATGTTCACACACACTAGCACAGCAAAAGAATGTTAATGCTAAACTATTTTGGAAATAGCAGTATCATAAGTTAATGCAATAGGCATGCTTTATTCAATGTGCAGACTTGTTTTTTTCATATTCAGAAGGAATATACTAAGGAATATATTATAACAAACAAGACATAAATGACAGCGGTGTAATCACTACTTTTGCATGACATTAAATGGACTCATGACTATATGGTTATCTACATTTGCCTTCAGTTAGCTGTTGGACATAAACGTTATTTCAATATTTTTAGGTTCAATCATGAAACTTCATTCACTCAGTATCATGGCTACTCATGTCAGAACTGAACAAAACAGCCCAACATTGCTTAAGTCATTAGTAAAGTTTAGTTTCAATTTCTTGATGAATAGGCATAATAACATACAGTGTGATTTCAAAAGTATAGACATTGTTAGAAAGTAACAGCACAGGAATCCACCTGATAACATAAAATATACTTCTGCAGCGCTATTTGGATGTTACTGAAACAGCTTATCCCTTCTTTTTTGCTTTCCTGCCTTTCCTCAAGTTGAAATAGGAAAATTAAGGCTATGTCATTACCATCGGTATCTGAATGGATTACATCAACAAATTGTGCATCAGTACGATCCAGTCTCCCCTCTGGTGGTTCTCGAGTGAATGAAGGGCCTGCTGGATCAAGACCTAAATGAAAATAACACTAGCATTACAAATCCTGGGGTCTGTTTGTACAGATATATACAAGCCCGACATTTGAGCATTACTTATCAATGACTTTTCATTTTCCTGAAATAATAATAAAAATAAAACCCAGCACAATTCTTCTCAAGTTTCCATTCTTCAACTTGCTAAACAAAGCAAGGGTTCCTACCACAAGACTGATCAATCCATATCTTTGAATTTTTCTCTCTCCCTAATTAGTTGTGCTCATCTCCTAGTTCTCCAGATGAATTATAAGCCAACAGCATTAGGGATCAAATCAGGAGAATTAATTTTGTCCTTTTCTCCAGAAAGTACCATACATATCTATTATGTACTTCATAAAAACGAAATGCACAACATAACTACTGTCATCACCAGAACCCAAGATGAAGACATCTTGGATGGAGACAATTTCAAACATGCCTCAATCATTTTGTCAGTTGGTGTTGAAACTACTTATAGAAAAACAACTGTTACATACAACTAAGTGAAATGCTGGTTTTTGACAACATTTTCACCTGAAGGAGGTTTGGAAATCTTATACTTAAATCAAAACTCAACTATGACAAAAGAGATTCCAACTGAGATCCATAAAAAGCACTGTATATCAAGGAGCAGGGGATTTGGGTGGCAAAATATAAATACTGCATATTCTCATTCATTTTAGGTATAGGGAATTACGTTGTGCAGCCCCGAAGCCTGATAATTTTCATGATGGTAATTTCTGTCCTTCACAGGAAACTGAAACTCTCAGCTGAGGTTTGCTCTGCTCCAATTTTCTTGACAACAAAAGCACAAAGAGGGGAAATGAAAAAGCAGCAAAGATGGAAAATACAACTGCAAAGGCAAAACATATTCCTACATTTAACTGACTTCTAATTGCATTCTCACTGATTGAGAGACAGGGACATAGCATGACCTTAGCTTATCCAAATTTGTATTAACTGGCAGATGTTCTTTAAGAACTAGTCTAGGAAGGTTGTCTCTCAAGATCAACATAACCAAGACCCAAACTACTGCAGGGGATCACGGAATGCCAGGAATTCACATTCATAGTACCCCAGGTGACAAAGGTCATAATTTTAGTCCACTAATTAGTTTTATACTTCAGAAACCTCCAAACAGTGAAGAAGAAAATATCTTTTTTTTTTTTTTAAACCTCATTTTTCCAACATCAGTTTGGGCCACTGTCTCAACTTGTTAGAAGGAAAGAGTATCAAAACAGTCACTTAAGAGGCTATGACCCTTGTGTGTTTGGACTACTCAATCTTTGCCTTTATTCATCCTATCGGTAATTATAAGAAGGTGGTTGACACTTTCCATATACTTCTGTTCACCCATGAGCATCTGAGCTCAGCAATGACATGGATCTTCTAGCTCCCAGTTATCATACAGAGAGGACACAGACCTGCTAGCCTAGCATTGCAATCAAGACTGTTCTCAACCAGTAATGCCACCAAACTCTAGGGAATTGTGTAAAGTGGAAACGAGTATTCTTAACCAAAGGAATATAGCTGGAGCTTATCACACTCTTAGAAGATGCCCTGACTTTCAGATTACTGCACTAAAAGGGGAGGAGTCTCTAATACCCTTTCTTAAGGCTGGTTACTGGCTCCTCTTTTTGGGAGGAAAAATTTTGGGAAAAAATTTTGGGAAAAAAATTACCTAAGTACTCTGAAGAGAGTGTTTGGAGATATGAATCTCAAGGAGAGGTAACTGCCTCCTTTCAGCCTGAAAACATCTGCTCTCTTAAATCCAAAACACTATCAGGATCCAACAGTCCCTTCTCTGACAGTGAGCTTTCTTCTTAACAGACTAGCTGCCGTGAGTTTTGCTCTTTCACCACAAGAAGTATCTGGAGCCTGTGCACCCAAATTAGCACTGTGGATTCTGCCCTAGAAACCAGTATCTAAAAGTTAATCGTGAACTTTGTGCAACCCTGGTCCTGAAAGATGTACTCAAATGATGGTACTCCAATTTTCACTGTATGCACCACTTTCCGTAGATGACAATGCTGACGATGTAACAAGTATGAGGTAAGATTTGCAGTATCCATACATAGGCTGGATACCTGATTTAAGCTCCCTGTAGCAGATAGCTCAACATACTAAAGCCTGCACCATGTTCAGATACCTCAAACTGAAACTAAATACTTGTGCCTAATTCCTGTAGTCTGACCAAGAGCTTTTGAATTTCTCTTCAGAGGGACCTGACTTGCTCGATCAACTAGACAGAAACTCAGGTAGTACGTAACTTAACTCAAGCAGCATTTGGATGTACCAGTCAATTCTCATTTGAGAGACTAAACAGGTTGGAAAATTTCAGCTGTAACTTATGTCCTGAAGGCAGACTTTCACAATTTTCTGAACTTCTGTCAGGGATACATTTTTCCTCATGTATGTCACTAAATAATCAGTTCTCATTTGTTGATATTTCAGTGCTAGCATCTATATGATTCACAGCTATGACAACAATACAAGGTACATTAGAATATGTGTATCGGGATTAAAAGCCTTACCTGTAATTCTGCCAATTTTGCCATTATACTTCTGGCCAACAAAACCAGCTATATGAGCTCCAAGACTAACACCAATCATATACACGTTGTCAAGAGAAGCTCCACCTACCTATCAGGGAAAAAAAAAAAAACAAAGCCACAACCACACACATGGTTAACTGAACAGACATCAGTAGACTGATTTCATTTTCACTTTTTGTCAGTACTCTAAGTTATATTTCTAACTAACTTTAAAAACAAATGGAAATTATTAAGTTCTTTTCAGTTTGACATTCTGTACCAGTTAAACTCTGTAGTAATTATGAAATTCTTTGACTAGAAAAATGTAAAAAGGAAGCTTGAGTCACACTTCTTCCAAACTGTCACGTTAGTTAGAAGGGGAGCACAGGGAGGGAAGAGGAAGATATTTACCAGATACAAGAAAGATGAACCACAACTATGAACTAGGGAAAAAAAAAAATCTCCCCCTGCCTTATCCTTCCAATAAAATAAATTTAAAACATAATACCATTAACACATGCCACAGATCTGCTGAATAAATAATCCAAACACCAAGCCAGGAAACATGAAATTGCTACTCTGCCCTTAATTGGTTTAGTGGTGGACTTGGTAATGTTAGGTTAATGGTTGGACTGGATGATCTTAAAGGTCTTCTCCAACCTAAACGATTCTATGATTCTATGATTCTATGAGTAATGGTGCCAAATGCACACCTGTGGGAAAGCCTTAAGGTGCCCATTCTACAAAGCAGGCAGTGTTTAAAAAAACCACGCACACCAAAGAACTCTGAAATAGTATCAGCAGACCTGTTAGAATCTCTGCAAAGTGATGGAATGATATGTGGGATCTGAAATATTAATGCATCTCAGAATGAACTAACAGAGGCCTCACAACAGCTTGCAAGTATGAAACTGGTAGCTGTGGGACACAACATACCCCACCACCATCACTTTGATGACTCACACAACATCAGCCCAAGCATGCCCTGCAGACATTGCTTTGCCAGGCAGACCTGTAACCAGCAATTAACCAAAAATCGTCATTGAGAAATTTGTAAAATATACCTTTTTAACCCACTCTGGATTGGGGACTGTTGTTATAGTCCTATTTTATTTTTCTATTCCGTAACAATAAATTTACTGTCATAATTACAAATTGTTATCACTACATCTAGTCCCAGAGGGCAGATTCTGATAGGGTCTCTCTTCTTTCACCTCATCCTTTCCCAAAATAATGGGTTTTTTACTGAAATTTCACATTAATGTTTTCTTACTGCACAGCATTCACCAAAAATTTCTGAGAATGGCTGAGAAAAGAAGTGGTGAGAATAGAAGAAAAATCAAGTGATAAATCTAACAATGCCATAAATGAGATGATAACATATTTTGTTCATTTGATTAAGGAATAAATACAAAGCCCAGTTATGACCACTGGCATCAACAATTGTTTCAGCCACTCCCTCTAGAATCAAGAAGATTACATGATTTTGGAACAAATACTTGTATCTCTGTCAGTGATTTCTTTTTCATTTAAAATTTTTAATTATAGTAGTTTAATAGTAAAAAGAGTAGTGTAATGTTTTTGTAAAATTTTAATGTTGCATACTGTTTGAACATCTCTCACTTCGCCTCCCCACTGGTGCATTCACTCTTT